ACCTCAGCACCTTCCGTTTCGGAGAGTGGTGGGGTCCGTGGTCGTGGCTTCCCTCGCTTCCCACTTGGAGAGCGTCGATAGCCTAAAGTGAAAGGGAATTGGAGAGCATTCCGAGCGGGCCTATGGGGGCCGCAGCCCAGAGTGGTGTGTTTCGCTCCGCCCTGTTGTTGCCCTCCTGCACCCGTTTGTGGGTGGTGGTCTTCGTTTCCCTGAAAACGGCACGTATGGTCGTCCCTCTGGTTGGTGTGGTCGCCGCCTTCCATTCGCTGCCATCAGCTTGAGGTGGGCTTGCGGTTGGGGATGTCGGCCTCAAGCTGTGGAGGTACGTCGGGCCTTGCCTTTTGATCTCAGGTCGGGCGGGAGCACCYGCCCAATTTAAGCATATAACAGAGCGGAGGGAAAGAAACCAACGAGGATTCCCTTGGTAGCGGGGAGCGACCCGGGAATAGCCCAGACTGAAAATCCGAGGGCTGTGTTGCTCCCTGAATTGTAGTCTTGAGACGCAACCTCTGCAGYRGGCCGTGTGCAGGTTCCCTGGAAGGGGACGCCGAAGAGGGTGACAGCCCTGTCGACCGCCGGACCCTGCTGCGCAACAAGGTGTTGTCCAATAGTCGGGTTGCTTGGGAACGCAGCCCCAATTGGGTGGTAAGTCCCATCCAAGGCTAAATAGGTGCGAGGGACCGATAGCGAAGAAGTACCGCGAGGGAAGGATGAAAAGAACTTTGAAAAGAGAGTTATAGAGTGGTTGAAATTGCCAAGCGAGAAGCGGATCGAGGGGAAGTCGTGCGCTCCCGTCTGGGCAGGGGTGGACAACGACTATTGTCGGTCCCCTTGTTGGACGTGGGGTGCCTGCCAGCATGGGCTGTTGTGATCGGCATTGCGGTGGGGAGCGATTGAAACCCCCCACGGGTGGCCATCACGGCAGCCTTGAGCACGCACCTCTTTCGGCGGGCCCGTTCGGGTTCCTGTGTGTTCAGGATGCTGGCGAAATTCCTTTATCCTGCCCGTCTTGAAACACGAACCGAGGAGTTTAATGTGCATGCCAACCTGAGTGGCGGGAACCCTCTGCGATTGCACCGTCCGCCAACCACGATCTGCTGTGAGAGGTTTGAGTGTGAGCATGCCCGTTGGGACCCGAAAGATGGTGAACTATGCCTGAGCAGGGCGAGGCCAGAGGAAA